GATGCTGACAGCAGCTGCTGGAGGAGGATGAGGGGAGGCTGAAGACCCTCTGGAGAAAAATCTCCCACATCAGGAGACGACGCACACTGATCCTCTGAACACAAACACACAAAATCCTTACAGAAGCACATTACAAAACTGTCATTTCCACAGAAAATAGAGTGTTGTTATTGTGAGAAAGATATGGAACATAGAGAAAAGACACCATATTTAAAAGTCAGTGACCAAAAAAAATAAATAATAATCTACACGTGACCAGCAGGGGGCAGTGATGTGATACAACTGAACAGGATTCAGTCATTCCCAGTACATTACAAACAGTAAACAGTTATAATCACTCCTGCATTTTCTGGTTGGTGTGTGAGCTGTGAGAAAATTGGATCACTTATGACACCAAAGCACTGAAGCAATTGCACAGAGAGGAAGACAAGAACAACTGAGTGAAACGGCATCAGAAAATGCATGCCGTTTGAAACTCGAAGTGAGATGAAGGGAGACATTCTGGTCTTACCTGGAGGATTGGGGCTGACATCTATGATGGCTGGCTGAGAAAGGATCTGTCTGAGTTTGTCCTGGTGGGAGAGCAGAGCACGCGCTGCCTTCAGGATGTACAGTCTGAGCTGCTGACACCGCAACAAATGCACATCCACCTGATCAGCTGCAATGACAAACACATAAACCAGAATATTCATTATCATACACAGATTAGCTTGTGTGGAACAGATGTTTTTGCATGGGAAGCTGCATGAACAGTCTATTTCTTTTCCCATCAGATCATCAAAATGACATTTGATTAGTGATTGCTGCATATAGCGTACCCGGAAGTCCTCTGCTGAGGGATTTCTTCATGCGTTGTTTCTCTAGTTTGCTTCCCGCCAAGTTGACTAGCTGAGCCCACACCGTCAGCATAGGCTCAGTGAAGGGCAGGTTCTGAACACTGAATGGAATCATATGAAGCTACAAAGATATCAAGACAGACAGAAAATAAACAACAATATCAACCACAGAGAAAAACAATGGCTATGTTCGTAAAAACTTACTACTCTTAATATATCAGCAATATATAGTACTGTATACATATTGTGCATTATATTATACATAACCGTTTTCTTTAGTGTTTTTGAAGTTCTCTTATGCTCAACAAGGCTGCATTTATTTGATCAAAAATACAGTAAAAACAGAAATATTTTGAAATATTACTATTTAAGGATGCTTTGTTTAAAAGAAAGTTCAAAAGAACACTTTTTTTTTTAATAGAAATGCATCCTTGCTGAATAAAAGTATTAATTACTTTCCTTTTTTTTTTACTGACCCCAAACTTTTGTACAGTAGTATACATACAATATACAACAGAGAACACTGTTCAGAATACTACATCCCACAATGTAAGGTGCTCAACCTGGGAAGTAACAGTGTGTGTTGGTGCATATGTACCGGTTTGAGCTGACTGAGCAGACAGACTTTGCAGTTTCTCATCTCATGGAACTGAACAGTGATTCGTCCTTTAGGTGTAATGCGAGTCACAGTGCCCTCCCCATATTCCTCATGAACCACAGGTCCTCCCAGACGCAGACGGTCATCGATCCCACCAATGACTGCCAAAACTGCCATCAGACTGCCCACCGCGGGGGCTTCTGCATTGGGAAGGTAGTCTTCGAGCACAGCCTGATAGAAACACAGAGTACAAAAATTCAATATCATCTAACACCAGGGCTCAAGCTAATATATGGTACCTTTAGTAAAATACTTCCATCATTTTACAACACTAATATTAGTTGGCTAATGAATATGAAAACATCAAAATTTGACTTGTACCGCTTCAGTGTGTCTGCCTGCCATGACACCACTGATACCGCTGAGCTGGGAGTTAATATATTCATTAATAAGGCTATTCCATTGGCCAAGGGAGTGAAGTGTACGCAGTACGGCCACTATTTCCTCTGCTAGAGTACTGCTGTGAGTGGCTGTCAGAGAGGCTTGAGGGCGTGATTTTCTCCTACGTATCGAACCTTCTGTAAAGCACAAAACATGATGTTAAAATGACACCCTGATATCATCATTTGCACTACCTCAAAGAGCACATAGTGAGAAAAGAGTTAATAAATGTACAGTACCCCTGAGGAGGGGCAGATCTGAGGAACAAGTGCTGAGCAAGCTGCCAAGGAACCCAAAGAGATTCTCCACCAGAAACTTCATATCCTGAGAGCGCTCTGTCTTATCCCAGGATGGCAATACAGCCTGTAGAAGCCGCAGGGCAAGAATCTGCCAGGGAGTGAGGAAAGATGGATTAAGTGACAATAAATGGATCCTGTCAACAGCACTAATGTGTACCGCACTTATGCACTCATTTTAACCCTGTGGTACTCATGAGGGTTTTAGAATGACAATTATACAGTAATGAGACAAGGAAAGCTCTCATCCTCTTGGTAAATCCAGTCAGAACGCATAGTAAGTGTTGAATGAAACCAGGATGCAATGCTGGCACCTGTCTCTGTAGCGTGACTGCGGTGAAGGACTGATGGCCCTCTACGATGCGTATAAGCAGACTGATCCAAGCATAGGAGCTCAAGGTACTGCACATCTGGGGCATGAGAGCTATACTGCGAATAAATCCCAGCGTGCACCAGCTCCTGTGCTGCTCACGGGACACCAGCTTGTGAGATGCACAACCTAAAATACAGAGAGGGAGGAATGTGGTTTAAATAGAATTTAACCATTATATTATATTATTTTACCTGACTAGATTACATTACATTATATTTTATATTATATTATTACATAACATTATATTATATTTTATATTATATTATTACATAGCCCACCTTGTTAAGAGTATTTAACTACTACAGTGCCTTGCGAAAGTATTCATTTTTTTTCACGTTTTGTTATGTTGCTGCCTTATGTTAAACTGCTTTAAATTACTTTTTTCCCACATCAATCTACACTCCATACACCATACTGACAAAGCAAAAACAGAATTGTCACAACTTCGTAAATGTATAAAAAAAATAAAAAAAACTGAAATAAGTACATTGTATAAGTATTCATACCCTTAACTAAATATTTACCTGAAGCACCTTTACAGTCTCAAGTCTTTTTTGTTTGATGCGACAAGCTTTTCTCATCATCATTTGGCAATTATCCACCATTCTTCTCCTCACCTCTTCACCTCTGAAGCTCTGTCAGGTTGGATGGGGGCAGATGCACATTTATAGGTTTCTCCAGAAATATTTGACTGGGTTCAAGCTCAGGCTCTGG